CCAGTACTGAAGTAAGAGAACTGCTTTCACTCTAAAGATGCCAACACCATGCACCCTGGAAGCATCTACTGCCTTTAGCCTATGTCAGTTAGTAGGAGCTACTGAAGAGATTAGTGTGATTGCACTTTTCTTTCTCTAAATACCTACTTTGACTTTGCTTTGTTATTCATAACACACACCTCTTTGTTCCAGTTTTTCCAAATGTTAAGCAGCTACACAGGCAAATATCCTGTTAGCTTCATATAGAACTGTTTGCTCTTCCTCAGCAAAAGCACCTGCACAGTCACCTTCATCCTCCAAACAGCTGCCCCTGGCATCCACCTTTCTTCAGGAAGGAATGTATTTGACGCTGTGCGAAGCAATTCTTCCTACCTACTTCTAAAGACGTTAATAATCAAAAGAATGCATGTTATGAGGAAGCCCTGTAGATACTCCCTAACCACCAAACATCTACACTGCACATGAGACTCACAAAACAATTTTGAATTCCTGTAAAATTAAATCTTATATATAATAACTCTCCTCTGTTTAACCATTTACATGTAATGGTTAGCTCAATCTAGAATTAGGCCAAACAAATAGTAGGAGGTATTCTAGCATGTAAAACAGTTTGAAGAGCGCTGGAAGGAATTGCCACAAATAGAGCAATATATTTAGTTTCCTTCAGAATTAGCCTTTACCATGAAGTATGTATTTAATAAATTAGTATTTAAGCCCAAGGGTTAAAGTAAAGCAAACACACAAATGTTTGCATGTCTGAGGCTTACAAAAGCAAAGCTTTATATTTTTTTTCTTTCCTAGTTTCCTGCAAAACAATCATGTTGAAGGAAAGCAGTGCAATGTTCTAGCTCAACGAGGATGATGTTCTGGTCTTCGGGGACATCAACTCAACCACGTCCTAAAAAAGCGTTTCCCAGCAGTGGTAACAGCAAGATATAGAACAAAAAAAAAGAAAAAGGAGAAAGGAAAAAAAGAGAAAGCACAATTGTCATGAAAGTCTTCTAGGCCTGTCCTGGTTTCAGCTGGGATAGAGTTAATTTTCTTCCTAGTAGCAGGCATAGTGCTGTGCTTTGGATTTAGGATGAGAATAATGTTGATAACACGCTAATGGTTTAGTTGTTGCTCAGTACTGCTTATGCAAGTCAAGGACTTTTCAGCTTCCCAGGCTCTGCTAGGTGCACAAGAAACTGGGAGGGGGCACAGCCAGAATAGTTGATCCAAACTGACCAAAGGGCTATTCCATACCATATGGCGTCATGCTCAATATACAAACTGGGGGGAGTTGGCTGGGGGTGCACCGATCCCTGCTCGGGAACTGTCTGGGTATCGGTCAGCGGGTGGTGAGCAATTGCATTGTGCATCACTTGCTTTGTATATTGGTATTACTGTTATTATTATATTGTTATTATTACTACTACTGTTACTATTTTACTTTATTTCAATTATTAAACTGTCCTTATCCCAACCCAGGAGTTTTCTCACTTAGTCCTCTGATTCTCTCCCCCATCCCACTGGGGTAGGGGGAGTGAGTGAGCAGCTGTGTGGGGCTTAGTTGCTGGCTGGGGCTAAACCACAACAAGGCCAAATCAACTGAAAGCAAAGAATAATGTTCAACGTCAGTCACATTTGATGTAAGAAACAGAGCAGAAAAATGTGCAAATTTCTGAAACACGGCAAGACCTGCTAACAGGACCTATTAACCAATGCTGTTTTTTATCCTGAATGCTATTCACTTTTCTGCCAGCTAAGGGGCAACCAATCCCTGACTGAAGGTAACAAAAGAGTATTAGTAAATAAGGTTTCAACACACATATTCAGCAGCTGTAAGGCTGAATCTGGTTTCACAGAACCCAGCTATATCACTAGATAACAAATGTCCACAGCTTTGTATTTCTGCTTCAGCTGAGCTGCCTTCACCACAGCCTGGCCTCAGTGCACAGAGCAGCAGGTTGTATGGACTGGTATCTGCTTTCAGCACAGATGAACCCTTCCTAAGTGGCACTTAACTCACATGGAGAGCAAGGGAGTTGAAAGGCCACGTGGGATTGAAAGTCAATGGGCTCTTCATTTATTTGTCAAGCATTGGAACAGGCTGCCCAGAGAGGTGGTGGAGTCACCATCCCTGGAAGTGTTCAAAATGTGTAGACGTGGCACTTTGGGACATGGTTTAGTGAACATGGCGGTGTTGGGTTGATGGTTGGACTGGTGATGTTAGAGGTCCTTTCCAATCTTAATGATTCCTAGTTTTCACTTTCATTAAAAATAATCCAGCCACCAAGCCAGGAAACATGAAATTGCTACTCTACCCTTAATTGGTTTAGTGATAGACTTGGTAACGTTAGGTTAATGGTTGGACTGGATGATCTTAAAGGTCTTTTCCAACCTAAAGGATTCTATGATTTTTATGAAACCTCTCTGTATGTAGCAACGCTACAGAATCAGAGAAATTTAGAAGGTTCTTAAATTGAATCATCATACATTTTACGGCATTGTGGAGTACCCAAAAAGTACTATAATTACATGTGTGTGATACACACACGGTTAACAGTCAGAAACTGGCTGAATGGGTTAAAAAAAAGGAACTTCTCCACAGCTGCCTTTAGAAAGGGCAGAGGGGGACAGATTCCAGTGCAAGTTGTCACAACTGAAACAATACAGTTTTAACACAGAATTAAAAACAACAGTGTATGGCTCCCTATGCTGAGGAACAGGGATGGGTGAGAACAGTCAGAGGGGAGATAGGAAGAAGTAGCTGGAGCTATTTTGGCACAGAATACAGAACACAGGAACAAGCATGAAGAAATTTAGTGGGGGGTGGAGGTGCAGGCTGGCGTTGATGAATTAAGCTCACTGTTTTAAGATAAGTTTTATCTGAAATAATTATTTCTCAATACACAGTATGAGTGCTCATACCATACTGAGGGAAGCTGCAGACAAAATTTCAAATCCAAGGGGGGATGGTTATGGATTTCTATTCTGGGAAAGCTGATGGCTGAGCAGGGTATTCTTGAGGTGACTCTGAGACACAACTAGACTCGTATGTAAACTCAGCAATTGTTATAGTATCTATACTTCAGTTTTCATCTCTGTCACACTGGTTCACTGAAAAGCTTTTTTTAAATTTTAAACTAACCTCCAAGTTTGCTGCAACACAAAAAATGGCACACTGGATCTGAACTGGTTTTAAGTCTGTTTATAAAATTAAGCTACACAACCACTGCGCCCATTTTTTACACAGTTTACGTACACTAAGTTTTGTGCCATTTTGCTCCAAATTATACTCCATGCAGCTTCAGGCTGGTTTTGTCTCATATTTTACAGAGGTGTCTCTGTCCTTGACAGTGCTAAGAATGCAAGCAGAGGTAGAAGTGGTACTTTCCAGGCATCCAGCAATGAAGCCCATGTGTAAGGAAGCATTTAAGCATTTTACATTTATACTTTGGCAGTGAGGGATGACATAGGGAGGAGGAGATACAAGAATTTCAATACATGGGAGGCAGAAAATGGAAGAAAAAAAAGAAAGACTAATTCAACTTCTGTGTACATAAATGATACCATCTTTGTTGATACTAGATGTGCATTTAACCTCCACAGAGTAAAGGCTTAACTGTGTTCAAGTGTCAGTAAATTTAATTTAAAAAGTGTTTTCAAGAGAATATTATAGGTCAGCGAACAGAGTTGCCTTGGTAACCAAATCTAGTTCATAATTTAAAGCAGGGAAATCCAGGTGGTGGGCAAGCTCGCAAGGCGTTTGCAGAGTGTCCGTCAGCCAGTGGGATGTCCCAGTCAGCAACCCCATCAGCAGTAAGGAATCCCTGGGTGAACTGGTTCAGGGTTTCGACAGCGTGAGCATTACTTAGAAACAAAAAACTATGCACACACACCACCTCCAAAATGCATGTATGAGGATTATTTTCCTTTTTTCACTACATTCATCCCTGAGGGGGGGAATAAATCAAAAAAGATTCTGCTTTCTGCCTTATTAAAAGTAGGATTTTAGTGTCTAGGCAACTAAAGCTAAAGCTAAAAACTAAAGCTGTACTGTGGTCTGAACGGTTCAGATTCAGCAGACAACGCAACATAAAACATATGTGAAACAGGCACTGCACGTAACCTGCCCTGGGTCTGAGAGCGCTCTCACAGGAACCTGTCAGGACGGGAAATGGCGGCACAGGTTGCGGGCAGCCAGCTTCCTCCTGAAGCGCTCGGGCTGGGGCTGGACAGGGCAGCACTTGGCACAGCACCAAACGCTTGCCCGCTTTGGCGGACCCGCCTCACGCTGAGCTGAGGAGCCCGGGAGGTGAACTGAGAGGGCCAAGGTGCCGAAGGCCACGCTAAGGAAATTTCCTCTGCTGGCTTGCAGAGGCTGGGCCAGTCAAGAAACCGGCTTGCCAAAACAGGGGTAGGAACTGCAAAACAGGGGTAGGAACAGGCTGCGGGCAACCGGCCAGAGGGGCCGGTCTGTGCCCTGGGCAGCTGCCGGAGGGGCGAAATGCCTCTGAGGAAAAGGTGAAGCAGCAGCAGTCCCCAAAGGCTCTATTTAAAAAAAACCCTAAAACTCCCAGCGAGACTGGGCCTTTACTCAGATTACACGCTCGGGAAAGACACATAAGCTGTCGGTAGAAAACCCAGAGGATGAACCTCTGCCTTAATGAAAAGCTCAATTCAGTCATTATGTCCACCCACAGCTCCTACTTTCTCACACACGTTACAACTACGCTGCTGCCTAATGTGCTCTTTAAATCAGAACTTTGTTCTTTTTGTCACTTCGAAAGCTAAACGTGATTCTACTACCAGGTTCAGACGACCAAGCACGCTGAAATGAAGGAAAATTAATTATTTTTGTATTAGCTCCTGGTGCATCTTTAAACTACAATTAAGCCATTTAATTCCTAAAAAAAATTAATGAGAATTTATTACAGTAAACTACTGACAAAATATAGCACAGAGCCTAGCATCTGCAGATGCAATGCAAACCACGTTAAACACGTGCCTTAAATTTGCAGCAACAACAGATACATATTAAAAATATATATGACTTGCTCTGTGAAACATTAATATGAGCGTTACACAAAAATGAATGGACCCATCTCATGTATAACAGCCAGGTGTGAGGCTTCAAGAGTTTTTTTGTACTAACGGTTACAGGTTTTTTTTCTTCTTTTATCATGGAGTACCACCTGTTAACATCACAGATAGGCAAATGGGAGGGGAAAGCATGCTATTTGGGCATCCTAGGTAGTCCAAAGCTCTTACTCAAAGTGTCTAGATTTAGAAAGTAATTTTTAACATTTTTAGATCTTAACACATGCCTCTAGAAATGAAATCTAAACCTCACAAGGTATCACTTCTATTTTCTTAGTATGTGAAAGGAAACTAATATGCCTGCAGTAACGTTCACAAATAATTGGTTCCCCTTCTGACCCACAGTCCTGATTTTCCACAGAGCTTAGAAATGTCACATTTCATTTCACTATAAATACTTCCACCTCAGGAAAAACTCAGGTCTATAGGAGCTCAGCACAAGTGAAATGTGTGTCTAGTCTTTCATGGATATATGCATGTCCTGCTAATAAAAGTATCTAACGCTTCAGCGTTAACTGGCAGCTTCTGTTCTTACTTTTACTGTCCTAGCAGTCACTGGTTTGCGTGCAAGAAATATACATATATACAGAAAATCTGAATATAAAGCACAAAGAACATTAATAGCGCTCCCTGAAGACACAAACAGATGCATACACACAACACACTTCAAACACAGCTTATAAACTTGGCTATGAGGAATAGAATTAGTAGCAGTAAAACTAAAAGGTTTATTGCAAATGCCTATGGACCAGATCCTCAACTGACAGGGGAGCATCCTTGAAAGAAATCCTCCTCCACTCAGGAGCCCACTACCAGGTGCATCACTCCAGCTGCACACAAGAGCCTCTAAGGCCATCTCACCTACCACACACCTGAACATCCTGCCAAAGCAAGCTACCAAGAAGCTACAGTACCCGATGGTACCTACCATTCTCGTGCAGGAAAGCAGGACGCCCATCACAGGCACCTAGCAGAAAGGTATCTCCTTCAGCCTGCCTTCTTCCACATCATCTTTTTTACAGTGCTAACCCTGTCTAACAGTGCTGGTTATGAGCACCTGAAGAACCCCTGTGTTCTGTGGGATGGTAGGATGTGTTGACCGTAACTAAGAGAATCCTCCACTGCCCAAAGACAGGAGTTTGCAGACTCTTTGCACTAATTAAGCGGCATAAATGAGCAGCACTGCTGTTTGGAACATGAAGCTGCAGACCTCATCTTACGTCCCAGTAAGTAATGCAAAGTCGTAAGAAAAACACTGTATTTTCACTTTCCGAAATACTATTCTTTAGCTAGAAAGGACCTGCTTGTAATTTTCTATGTGCAAAAATAAATTACCTAAGCTTTATTTCATAAAACAGTAAAACCGTAATCTACACATACACATTTTATAGGCTGTGGTTATCTCTGCTAGCAACATAAGGAATATTTGTTTAATTTATATGCAAAGGGGGGACTGAGGCATAAAGAACAGAGTGCAATAAGAGGTGTTGGGAATAGAAAATCTGAAGCAGACATCTATTTACAGCAATTCAAAGCTGCACAAAAGAAAAACAGAATAGAATCTCTATTACTGAAACAGATGTTTCTGAGACAGGAAAACAAAAGAAAAGCCCAACATCTGGAAATATAAGTGGTAGCAAAAACTGTAGGATTAAATTAAGTAAAGATAATGGATCTGAACTACTAGAAGGGCATCTGTGAAGTAAACCAACTGTCGATGAATTAGCTGGAAAAAGTAATTTTTAAGAAGATGAGCCATTAAAAAGTATTTTGGCTTTCAGTTTGTTGAACTGACTAGAAAGAACACATAAGAATTTAAAATTTAAAATTAAATATCCAGGTCTTCCTGGACGTTATGTGAATAATTCCACCTGTGACAAAACTATAAATCAGCACTGGAATCCAGACAGCAGAAGCTGCCATGTGTGCAAAATTTGACATGATTAATCATTCTTACTTGAAAGCCATTCCTGTGACCAGGAGTACTGTGACAAATAGGCAGTTAAGGGGTAGAATATACTACTCTACCGCTGCATCAAGCTGCACATGATTCTATTTCATATTCTACACCACCGCCAAAACACCACAGAGAACTGTGAAGTAGCTGTTGCAGCAGAGTACTTTTTTTGACTCAGATGACCACCCCATCTCCTTTTGCTAGGCACCTCATGTAAGTCAGACAAGATAGCAAGTTTTTAAAATAGGATGTTGGTAAAATAATTTTCAATATAGTTTTTAAGAAGTCATCAGGGTTTTTTTGTAGCCGCTTAAAATACTCAGTTGTTTCCATTTGTTATGTTTAGCTTAAAAGACAAGGTATCCAAAAAAGCCATATTTTAGGTGCAAAACACAAGCATCATCATCAAGCTAAACATGATACATGTTTTTGAGTTATCTTTCTCAACTCAAAACCTAAAAAATGTTAACTTATGCAATAATTTATTCCCCTTTATTTCTTCCTCCGACTTTGAGCTCTGAATACCTGCACAATGTTGCTGCCTGCAAAACTGGCTCGTCTCCATATCCGCCCTCTGGCCAAAGCCTCGTTTAACAGGTGAGCTAGTTTCCGCTCCATCTCAGCCTGAAACACTTCCTCCTGAATTCGCTGGTCGACGACACCCAAGAGAACTACATTGCAGAGAAAGTAACCCAAGAACACAAATGAATTAGTAAAAATTTTCAGTGTCTCTTCTGCAACTTCAATTATAAGCTTTCAGTCACCCTGTGACATCTCACACAATTCAAGAGCAGCTGTATTCATATGGGAATACTGCCCAGTTCAGCCAGAAGTTACATGTTGGAAATGAAGACATTGGGTGGGAAAAGGTTAAAAGAAAGAAATTAAAACAAAAATAAAAACATTAGGGCAAGCACATTTTTGGACTCTCAACCAGTCTAGACAGACCCAGGATATTGAAGAAACAGTTTCAATTCTAAAAAAACCCATAAACATATGAGCATTTAATGAATTGTTTAAAAACAAATAACAGAGAAAATTCAGTCCAAATTGTCTGCTGCAACTACTTTCAGTCAAAATGTTGTGTTCAAAAGTGATACAGAAGTAGAGATGGGCAGGGCAAGGGTTCAGAATCAAGGAGAAGAATTAGGAGACCAGCAGCACCTGAACGAAGCTGTGTATTCCAAGCGCATCCTCCCTAGATAAGATAGACATTATAAAGTATGACAACCATAGCACACAAAAAAAAAGGTTAGTAGCCCCACCCACTTCACTTCCCAACCCCGGGTACTCTGAGTCACCGGGGCAGCTAATGCTGAGAGGAATCCCTGAGAAACAACACATAGGAAACACGAAAAACGTGTGGACCTTTACTAACAAGATGGCATCCAGTAAAAGAAAAGTGAATGCAGCGACAGTCATTCAGATGACTTAATTAAACAACACTAAAGAATAGTGAACCAATTCACCACTGACTGCAGTAAAATAATTCAGTTTTCATTCCTGAGGCTCTCCACTAAAATGGTTTATATTTTTTAGAAGTCCCTTTTTCAATAAGTGCTTTCATGTTTACTTTTTTAAGTGTGCTTAATAAAAACCAATCCAATTAGATAAAATCAAATATAATTTTAATTGTTTTATTTTTTTTAAAAAATTAAAACCACTTTTCCATTCAAAAATTTTCACTGCAGATGTCAGAAAAAGGAAACATTTTAATGATTTTTCAGAAATCAACAGCATCTGCCTTCTAAATTCAGTCACAGACTAAGTATCTCAGAATTAAATAGCAAAATAAATAGACAGTGGCCTAAGGCTGTTATATATAGCAAGTAGAAGACTGTTCTTGCCTGTGCATTGAATTTCAGTATCAATGAATTATGCTTAGTAGCATGAATTGTATTCTACAATTGTGAGGGACAGCTACTGAGAACACTGCATATCCCAATGTTTTATGACTATTGGGATACATGCACATGTATCTGGGTAACCTAATATCAAAAACCTCATCTTTATGTGCATAAATTCTATCATTTTCCTATGTCATGAGTCACTACCCTTACAATACAATACACAGACTGAAAGGACTGACCCAGGCAAAGTCTACTAGCTCTTCCCAGACTGCCTGCAAGAACTGGGATTACAAAAAAGTCATCTACAGCAAAAAAGGTGCTGCAATTGGCTTTCAAAATCTTACAGTCTGGAAGTTTAAAAAAACCCGAAGGGACATGATTTCTGAGCTGGAAGAATCCTCTTCTTACTGCAAAATCTAAGGGAACTTCCAGCAACAACAGACAAGGCAAACCTAAGGCTGAGCAAGAGAGGGCAGGGGTGTGACCAAAAAAGCCAACATAAATCTCTAAGGAAGACAGATATTGGATGTGGGATATGCACATGTAGCTTCTCTCATGTTACTGAATATGATCTGAAATTCTTCATTTTTCTTCTCCAAAAAAACCTGTGTGAGCTTCAGAAATTAAGTTGCAACTTGGTTTCCTGCTTAGAAAGTAAACTGAGTCACTGGTGAGAGAAGACAGGGATACCTGAAAAAAGAGTAAGTCTATACTACTGGTGAACTACAGGTGGAGAAGTTGTGGGAAGAAAAAAGCGTATCCAGTGGGGCATCTGCACCCTAACAGCAAACTTGCTAGGCATAGCCTGGTTCACCGTTCAGGCCTTCTGTTTAAAAGAAGCAGACAGGACCTACAGCATACAGGCAACCTCAACAGCCTTTGAGCATCTAAATGCGACGGCTCAACCGTATCTGCAAATTATAGAATAAAACATCCAGAAAACTTGGGTGGGAGAGGTCTGCTGTGAATGAATCAGAGGAGATCAATGAAATGCAATGAAACTCTTTCATGTACTCAGAACGTATCTGTTCTCATTATGTTTTATTCCTGGCATATTTTGGTAGAAAGTGCCGCACAAATAAAATTTTAATTTTCACTTAAAATGAAAACCTAAAAATCAATGTAGTATATTGACAGCATGCAGAGTAGACACTTTATGCCTGACAGTGTAAGCCAACTCACTAAGAATGAACTGCTTCATAGACAAAAACTACTTTGTGTGCATTATGAAGGAATTGCAGTAGCTCATTCTAGACACAGGAATTACATCTCCCAGATATTCCAGGTCACTAGGCCTTTGGTTTTGGAATTTATTCAGCTCAGGCACATTATTCCCTCATAAAAATGAAGCACCCCTAAGCTATTGATATTTATGTAGGCTAGTTATCCTGCTAACAAAAAAAATTGCACGCTTAACTTACTCACAGAGACTGTACATACCTGTTCTCACCCAGGAAGATTTCATCAACTGAGACACATTAAGCTTAGGATAATGAAAGGCTGAGGGAAAAACAGAATGGAGGAAAAACATCTGTAAGAACAGTATTCTCAACAACATAAACAAGAAAAGACGACACTTCATAATTTATACTGTCAGTAAGCACCTTATTTACACAGATGCATTACTGCTCCTGAGGCTATGCAGACACAACGGTAAGGAAAGTGTTCCGAACATATACTCCCCAGTTCGTCTCTGAACAAAAAGAAGCTAACGGAAGCAGTCAGATTTATTACCTGAAAGATTTCAAGCTGCTGTATCGAGGTCATTGCCCCTAGAAATTTAAAAGCTCACTGTCTGAATTGCGACTCTTACTGAGCTAGCTGCAGGATTGGACTTTTGCTCAAAGGGCAATGAGGCAACTCATCAGTGTCTTAGAATGAAAGTAAGATCTCCTCTGAAGTGGAAACTACATGGAAACACTAAATGTAAAGCAGAAAACTAAATATATCTGATTTGTGTTCCAGACTTGTGCAGGGGGAAGCATTTAAAAAAACCACTTTGATAATTTTTTTTTTTTTTTACAAAAATCACAAATAAATGCACGTAGAAACATTGCTGTAGACAAATCTCATGGCTTTTGTGTTTGGCTTGGTGGCTCTGAGCTTTCTTAATTTCTCAATTCTTCCAAAAAAGCTCTGCTCCAGAGTGAAATCCTTGCCCAGTGAAGTAAATAAAGTCTATTTCCACTGACTTCGGTAGGGCTAAGATTTTTCCCAAGGTTTCCACTGGAGAGCAGTAAAGACATGTTGGGAGAGAAGTGAAGTTGGGGGCTGGGCCAACAGTTTCCTCAAGGGAAGTCTTAAACTTCACTATGGCAATATGAAAAAGGAAAGGTCTTAACTTGCTCAAAATATTTAATCCAGATGCAGTTTGCTAAGCATAATACAAAGGTTAATTTTTAAACCATTTCATGGATAGAAAGAATGCAGCACATAACAATTAAATGACCTGGTCCATGCTAGATCAATTTAGAGTACAGATGTCCTGTCTTCAGTTATAGTTTGCCACTATTGCATGTTCCAGAGAAAGAGAAAATTACCATTTTTCTAATTTAATTATGCAATAATTTGTAGAGTAGCTGACCCCTGCCAGCATACCTAAAAACTGGTTCTTTTGCCCCTTAAAAAGCTTACGAGTTTTTTGTTAAAGCAAGAGCAAAAGAATTACTGGTTACGTTGTGCCTCTTATTTTCATAGATTTATAAATAGTCTTTTGAAAAAAAAAAAAAAGAAAATTTTGTCATTCCACCTTCATCTCAATAATAGCACCACTAGCTTCAAGAGAACCACGTGGGAGGTACTTTTTGACTTACTAATCAGATGGGTATCAGAATACGGTCCTTTATTCTGAACAGGAAACATCGGCTCTCTATACGCTGACCAGGATGCATCAAATTTCCCAAACTCTCAGACACACAAAAAGCACCTCACAGTCCATTTAAACAAACACATTTATTTTTGGCATCCTGCTACATGATTCTTCTGACCATAGCTTTTAGATTGGAGTTCTATTTACTCTGGTCATGCAATTGTTTACTTCAATTTAGAAATACAACCTGAACAAAAAAGCATAAACTGAACTGCATCTGTTGTTTTTCCAAAGCATGGAAAGAGCAAGATAAGAAAATCAAAAACCTTCCAATGGCCATAAAACTTTGAACTGCTGGCAGTTGTGAGTTTTTTCTTCTTTTAAGCCAAAATCATGTTTTGCCTCAATACTTAGTGTGCTCTTCACACTTCTTCTAATTAGTACTTGAAAATGATTTAATTCATGCAAATTGCTGGATGACTATTCACTTAAACTTTTCACAGAATTAATGAAATTTAAAAATAAAACAACTTGAGCAGAAAATCTTGAAATTGAAAAGAACGAGGTGCCGTGATCATTGGCAACTAAGGCTGGTTTCTAAAACCTGATGAAGAACACATGAAATGATGGACACTTCTGCAACTGAGACCATGCTCAGAAGTGAGAAAATCCAGGCTCCAGCTCTTATTCCATAGGTCACTCAAGTGTCTCACCAACACACATGCGGTCAGATCCTGAGCTCAGCTGGAGGCTTAGCACTGCAGCAAGATCATATTTGTAAGATTCCTAATGCCCCCTGGAAGTAACAATTAAAGCCAGCACAGACTGATTGTTATTCCGAGGGGGAGGTTGGATAGACAAAATGCAATTATTAGTTAGATTGCAGCTGGTCTGCTAATGACTACAGATGCATTAATGAAGTAGATGCTATCATCATTAGAAGGTTCTAACACACAGCCCTGAAGCACCATACTGCGTAACAGCATTGATTGAATGCTGACTGAAAAGGCAAAGGGTCACCTAGTCACCCAGAAACCTCTTTACAGCAGTCTGAAGCACACCACTTGGGCAACACGGCCTTCACCAGATGCTCCAACAAGGATCTCTCTGACCCTCTCCTCTTGTACAGAGACGTGTCGGACCATGCAGGATACAACTGGTACCATATTGATTGTTCCTATTTCTGATAAATGGAGGAACAGCAATAGAAAGCATAGAGGGAATGCAATATTTGGAATGAGAAGGCAGCAACTGAAAAATAACATCCCATGCAAATACTGGGGTGCAGGCAACAGTAACACACTGTATCTGTTAAAAGTCTGACCCAAAATCCACCCAGATAAAACCTGCCAAATATTTCTGCAGTCTTCGGACTGTATCATACAATTTTATATTATCCTATTGACCTTGCAACATCTCTAAGATATCTGAAACAGATGCCACCCATCAAAGTGCTACTTATGGCACTAAAAAAAATAGCAAGTCCCAAAGCAACTCTTTCTATTTAAAGCCATAACAAAACCAAAGAGATTTATTTGGGTTAAGTTCATGAAGGCCAATATTCCTCATCTAGTCCACAGCTAGCCTTTGCCTGTCCTCAGAGAAATCGTCCAGCCATAAAGAGATACCAAATATATTCTTTCTTATTGTTTTTAATGAACTAGCACCCAAAAACTGTGACTAGACTTGGTTTTCTTTCTGCTGACATGTAGTTCATGACCATTGAACCAGTTTACAATCTAAAATGTGAGATGTTAGGTGGACAACACAAAAAATAAGCATGCAGGAAGGTGTAAACCGAACATTTGAATGTAAGCACGTTGCTGAAGTCACCTAGAAGTCTGTGGGGGAAAGAAAAAAGTCTCCAAGTTTCCAGGCTTGACCATTCCAACAGCCCTATTCCTGCACAGAACAGTCCATTCTGTCAAACTAACAACTTTCACTGCTGACCCTGACTCTAAATGAGTGGAAAAAGCTGACAAAAAATTCCCGTTGTTAATGACGTACAACCCACACAGCTGAAAGTATAAACAGTACATACTAGTTATGTGAAAAATCCAGTGAAAGGACTGTGTGTGAAAGGCAACATGAGGTGAACAAGCAGCAGGGAGCAAATACATTCCTTCAAACAAGGCTCATATTTGGGATATCGAAGGCAAGGTCTCACTTCACTTAACGGTGTTGAGATACAGTGATATTACACGAGTAGCTTTTCCTCAGTATGAGTCAAATTCAACCCCCTGACAGCTCAGCTCACCTACAAATCAGTTCTTTTTCTTCAGATGCAGACTATAAAACTTAGAAAAATCATACACAGTGCCCACAAGGGGAAAAAAAAAAGTCACCACCAAGAGTATTAACTGTTACCATGCCTGATAACTAAGGCACAAATGGCATAGAACAGTATGGCAAGCAACATTTCATATTTACATATACACAATTTACATAAAAAGAATAACATATGTAAATTGTTTATATGTAAATATATAAATATAAAAAAAATCCCCCAAAAATTCACACTGAAAAGTACAGGGTTGCATATTAATTTGCAGAGAGCAAAGCAGCTACCTATCTACGGAAGGTCTTCACAACACCTTCCCTGCTACAACTCCTCTGTAGACCGAGGGACAGCATGAAAGCAGAGAGTTCGGGGCCTAGAGAACAAAAACATTCAGGCATCTTCCTGCCAAAGCAGCTTTGAGGATCTGGCTGTTGGTCATCCTCAGACTGCTGAGTAAGACGTCTCAAGAAAGGTCTGCCCAACACTGCTGAGCCTTTGGACATGATTTCTGGCTCTGAATACTGAAGATCTAAAATCTTTTGGCTCAAAACACAGTCACAGCAACAGTGCAACAAACTGTAGAAACAACTAAAAATAACCGAGTGTGGTTGCCTTGCTTATAAAAGCGTATGAGCTACATTCGTTATTGTGCTTGCTGACAGACGCACTCATAGCTCTAACAAGCTGAGAAACTGTGTTTCCCGCTTTGCTGACTTATCAAATGGCACCATGTCTGGTGTTCTAAAACAGTGATTACAAATGAGCTGAAGCACTACTGCAACCAAACTAGACAAGTTCAAATCAAAATGAGCTGTCCTGCAGTGGGCTCAATCTACAGTAAATATGAGTTCCTCTAGCAACATGCAAGTCAAATGCTGACAAGAAGCTCCTTGATTTAGGGCACCATATCCACCAAAGCCTCATGTGTTCTACATTGTAAATTTTGGAAAGATCTCATCTTTCCTAAAAATTCTGAATTACTAAATTGAAATGTAATATACTTATTCTAATTGGATTTATTGCATGTATTTTATTGTATTTTAATTCAAAATTAAAAGTTTTGAAAATTCAGTCTAGATAAATTTGAAGGTAGTCTTCAAAATTTCTCTGTCAAACAACGAGACATCACCACCAAACTCTAGCTGAGATCTGAGGCAAGTGCTTTGCTCTGTTAGCAACATTCATTCAGTCAACTATGGCTGCAGTTAGGTGCGGTCAATTGAAGGCAAGGGTGTATACACAGCTAATTTGGCTGCCATCATTCCCACTACTAGGGATGTGCACCAAAGCAATAACATTTTTCAAGAACTCCAAATATGACAATCTGTATCATGATGCACCACTGATGAGATACTCTGCCTTCCTACACTAAGGGAGGATTGAGGATTTGAGGTTCAGTAGTGTTTGGAAGATTTGGTGGATTTGAGGGGAGGAAGAATAATTATTTTGTGTTTGAAGCCTAGAAGCCTGTGCTGGAATTTGCAAGAATGAAATTACCACACTGTTGGCATGCTTCTGTAGTATCACCAGCAGGAACAAACAATTCCTCAAGCTTTGGAAACAAAGTTATAGAAATATGCCACCCATAGGCTGGGACATGCCACCATTAGTATGAGGTTAAATTTACCAGGACATAATACCCAGCAACTACATGACTTCACTGCAAATCCTCAGAGTAGTCAGGAAAAGAGGAGAAACCCTAGCGGGACCTTTTCCCAAAGGCACTGCCTGACCTCCTCACTCATTCTACTTTGCATGGCTTTCTCATTAACATGTGGGCCACCACAGAGCTCCACTGGCATCGGCCAGGAATCAGCCCCACTGGCCAGGCACTATAAGCATGCAGATAACACAGGGAGAGCTCCTGCTACGAGCACTGAAGAAATTACCTTCAAATTTCCTAAGCACCACCAGGAAAGGAAAATAAGGAGAACTGTGTACATGCATGTTTAATAGGGATGTCTTTACTCTACGACCAGCCTGTCTTTCATGATATATCTGCCTTGGTAGAAATTCTGTTATCATTTAATTGCACTGTAGCTCCATCACACAATCCAGAAGATGGATTCTCAGCAAGGGGCAACCTGCGAATTCACAAGTATCACTCCAGAATATGTGGACAAAACTCAAAACTGTAGCACCAGATGTGCATACATAACAGGAAAAAAAAAAGCCCCACGACACTGAAAATATTACCCAAGAAACTAAAAGTAATAAACTCTAGGGCAAAGGTGCAAAAGAGACTGTGCAGAGTGAAGAGAAATGTCTTTCAAGCAATCAAGGCAAGAGCAACATTTAATTCTAATTCAGTGAGAGATAAAGACTGTGGCCCACAACCTGAGTTGTTCTGTGGCCTCACAAGGAACAAAAAAAAAAAAAAAATGTTAGTCGCTATGAACAGGGATTCTCAAGGCTTTTGGTCCTGGCTCAATTACAGCTATCACTGCACAGGTACAGTCTGTGTGAGACCAAATAAGACCAGAAATGTTTAAAGGAAATGAGTCAACCACCTTGTACATTTTTTAATTGACTATGGGAGCAGAGGATTCAAAAATGCTGAAAAACGAAAACAAAAAGTTTAAAAAAATTAGTACATTTAAACTGCTTCTAGTCATTAGGAAAGTTTCCTGTGCAGTCATCTTATATAGATTTAAAAGTGCTATAGAGAACAACTTCTGTTGACAATCACTCTCTTTACAGTATCTTCACTGACATACTACTGCACAGCTGTGTAATGAACAGCAGGTGCCATTAGGCCTGATTTTTCACTAGACATTTAACTGTGTAACAAGAATCACTGTCAGATGTTACACACCTATATACCTCCGAAAATTAAAAATCTGCATCGGAAAGCACAGTGAGATAGGAAAAAAGGGGACTTAATTGACTGAGTGAACAGTAACACCCACCAGGAGGGAAAGGCAAGTACTGTTCTCTCATGATCTTGCTTATGTTCATGAGTCATTTCTGTCATGAACAATCCATTAGTGTTGAGTTTAGAAACTTGGCTTATTTATGAGAGTGAGGTCATCTGAAAAATCTAACCAAACATTAGCTGTCGAGTGTCAAGAAAACTCTGCTATGCGGGCTGTTCCCATTAATCTAAGTTTAGGATTGCCATGGACTGGAAAAAAATGACTTGCAATGCAAGTTGTACACAAGAAGTGAGAGATATGCTTAAAAGGTAATACCTCAAAAGAGAATAGACTACTCAAAAAAGCACTGCTGCTGACTAACAAATAGCCAGACAGACTATATGGGCAAATATAAGCTCATGTTGCCAGTGTCCCAGGCTTTCTAGAAGTCAGAGCCACAGTTAAGTGCAACTCAACACCCCAGGTAGTACACCCTGCTGAGAAGCAAAGGCCACTGTAGACATAACCATGAGACACACACCTTGGACTGCACTTCATGACAATATTGATAAAGTGGGTTTTGTTTGGTTTTTTGTTTGGGTTTTTTTTTTTTAATTTGGACTAAGACCAATGGACTATTGAAGCCAGGTTAAGCACAACTGGCCCAGCACAAAAGGAAAGGATGATGACAAAAGCAACAAGTTGCTGTAACACTGATATGCAGTATGTGAGCAGAGAGGGGCATGAATTTGCTCTGCAGAATTCATGATACAAATTAGGTACTTGAAGCTGCATTATCACTTATGCACAAAATTACTTCAAAATTGTAGAGAGGAAAAAAACATTTAAAAAGGTATTTTGCAGTCTTGGCAAACAGCAAATACTCACGTTCAGCAATTTGCTGCACAGGAAAGCCCAGATAGAAACTGAATTCCACCACGGACAAGTTTCTTAGCTGCTCACTGACTTCAGACCCATTTAGAAAACCGTATCTATCTCGGACAGCAAAAACAATGCTCACGGGGCCTTGCCGAAATGCCACCCCAGGCCTGCTCAGAGTTATATTCAGTATCTGAAAAGACAAGATTGAAGTAGGGTCAGCAAAATCAAAACACTGGCATTTCCATTCCTTTCTTGACAGATTTTTTTTTTCCTAATACGAAGGGGGAGCAGTTCACATCAAAACAGAGGAACATCTATTCCAAATTGATTCAGCCTGCAGAGTCTCAGAAGAGGCAAAGTTACATGTGAATTCCTCTTGTAAGAGTTATCCTTTGAGGTCAATCATAATCCAGAATGATCTGAAAGCTACAGTCCAGAAAATGATGAAAAAAACCACCTAGACAGTCAGTCAGAAAAATAAATCTGTCGATAAAGAAATCTGAGACGAATACCAAACTGCGTGGAACAGACAGGAAGAGACCATGGTACAGAAATGTTTTGAAAATGGATGTACTCTTGGTCAAAACCTCCTGCACCATGCATACCCAGACCCTACCACTGATTAGAAGCCTTATTTTGACACCAATGTATGCAGCAACTGTGTTCACATATACAAACCTCTTCCAGACAGTACGGAAGTATTTAAATTAAGTTTGCTAAGCTGATAGTCAAAAAAATTGTTTTGCATGTTCTGTCTTCAGTCTATCCAGTCCCATTGTGTCATTTAGTTTTACAGTTCTGAGCACTTTACTACGTGTACTATATAGTACTCTAGGTACTATAAAGTTTATGCCATTCTTCCTGCTATGATTTTATTTTAGGGTACCACAGATGGGCATTTATGGTGCCAGTTAAATAACATAGTAAGATTTTTTACTAATTTTGGTATTACAACGAAGCTAGATTAAATTTAAGAATTCAGACAGAAGAGGGAGTTGGTCTTATTAAGTTGAATTACTGACTTTCCAATAACTCTGCTATGTGATTCAGTACCCAGCACATATGCAATGCATTTCATATATAAATGTAGCAGCTGCCACGGACTTCATATACTGCTGTAAGTATTTCTCGACCTCAGAAGCAACTAGCGTATTTGATCACATAATGGCAGAGTGCATAAGTCCTATATTCCCTAATAGGATCCCATGAGCAGCAATGAGACCTGAAAGTTTTCTTTCAACAAAAGCATTCTAACCACACCCTACTCTGTAATAGTAAAATCTGATGGGAATGACTTTGATAAGGGCTGGGGCAGACTTTATACGAAAAAGTATAAACCTTATTCTATTCATAATTCTTTTGGATATAAATCATCATCTTGGATCATTTTTTTCAAAAAGATTGAAGCCAGAGGGATACACGGTGCCATATTATTTTGTAGGGCAAAAAAATCGTGACTTCATGACAAAGACTCATAGTTCTACATGATCTAGATGGCAAGTGGTAGCCAGTGAACACCTAACTCTTTTTACTGGCTGGATGAAACACAGGGCAAACAAAGGTGAGGAGAAAAAGGGACAGACACAAAACATGCTAATCTTCTTACCTGCACAGTGAAGTTGTAGAACTCCTGGTGTTTGCTTGCTTCCATGAATGCCATTGTCAGCCCTTTCTCAATGCGCCGGCTAAAGTCACAGAACCCAACGTCCACGTTCCGAGGCACAAACTGAAGCACTGAAAGCAAAGGGTACACGTTATTCCCACAGACAAGTACTTCCATGAGAGAGAAGACAATGAGCAAGAGAATTCTCAGGGCTATCACTTTTTCATGGAATTCAGGATATATTCAGTGAAAAACTGGGTAAAAATACAGTAGAAATACATTTTGTGTTGGTGCAGTAAACTCTCTACTCATTAATACCTGTTGCAACAGTAATTAGGTTACCAAAAGATATTAGTGACAAAATACCCACTGTTTCCTCTTGCATACTGAAATACCTTCACTACATACATGTGGCTAATTTTACAGGACTTGAACACTGAATCAACCACACTGAAATCCTTAGTACCCAACAAATCAATGAAAATCTTAAGGAAACAAAGCAACAAATTTCTTTTTCTTGTAGACTGAAATATTGTATTTAGCTTGTCTAAAAGATCACATATTGTGTCCATTAATACACATTAGTATCAGTCTAACACTTTCAAAACACTTAATTAGCATACAATCTTTTAAATCTAGATACATACATCTTAAAGTCTTTCACATGAGAGAAAGAGCAAGCACAGGAGAGAAAGAGCGCAAAGGAATGTGAGCAGGCACACAGACCTTAAATACATGCACACCTGTGGATTTCCTGATATAGTCTTACCCAAATAAATGCTATGATTAGGTTACAGACCCTAATTGCAATGTTCTACAAGGTTCAAGAACAGAAAATATGTCTACTGTCTATCTATACAACCATGTTAAGCAGTGGAAAAAGACGTCATACCTGCACAATTAAAGAAGTGATGTCTTACCATACAGTTATTAACAGAGCAGAAAGAACACATGAAACATACCTGAACAAAAGCACCATGTTTGACATTCATTATCTCTCTGCCTATATATATACTCAATCCCTGTCACTACCTCATTATGTAGTCAACCAACCAGGCAGGTGGTTTTGTTACGCAAATAGTGCCTCAAGAAGATTTTAAATTATACCACTGACTCTCAAAATCCATTACATGGGTAATATTTTACTTTAGATTTTTAGTAGTCATGGACTTCACATAAACCGTTGCCATAGATCAGCCATGGAAAGCTGAATACTAGATGAGCAATCCTCCTCCTGCTCACATTATACATGAGCAATCAGTCAATCCTCCTGCTCACCAATTCTCCTACATTATGAGAATTCTAAAAAGTAGCATTTAAGGTAAACATATTTTGAAACTTGATTCAAGCATTATAAAGTAGCTGCACTGTGATTTCATGAGTAATTGTTTCACAGAAATTTTTTTCTCTTCTCACCTTTTAAAGCAAGAAAAAGAGCACATCTATTCTGCAATGTGCCACAAAATTTTTCTGAAAAAAATAATGAAATTATGGGGTTAACTGTATACAATTTGTCATCTCTCAACCATGGATTCAGCAAGTATTTCACTAACAACCAAGAATTAAGATTCCTGGCAGTAGAACACAGGGTTTTGACTCGATCTTGCATACTTAATCACAAATGAAGAAGTGCGAATCAATACGAAGCTACATCTCCTCCTCTTCGTGTCAGGAAGAACTCACCTGTCTGAACTTGGAATCTGTTATCTGGCACAGTGAAAGAAGGATGCAGTGAGAGGATCATGGGGGCCTCACCACGAAGAAGACTGCTGTTCACAAGCACATTTATGACAGCTACTGCCGTGTAAACAAAAGGACCTGAGGTCACCAAGAAAGCAAATTTGGGGGAGATTTTATAAACCTACAAAAAAAAAGAAAATTTTTTTTAAAATCTTCAATGTGAAATTTGGAAACACTTTAGACCTAGTCTCACGCATTCAAAGCCACATCATCAAGAGGTAGGAAAACACAATCTTTATTTTTCAAAGAGAGAGCAGAAGCATAAACCCTCTGACAGTGCTAAGCCTTGCGGCCTCTGCTCCAGTGCATCAGAGGCAACAACCCTGCGCTAGGTGCACCTAACTAGAATCTCTTCAGTACAACACACCAATCTCAACACTTCTTGATTTATCACATCCCCGCATAGTAGCACTCCCCCTCGCCTGCATTCCCCTGGAGTACATAAGAGTTCCCATACAAAATTGCTGTTTACTTACTGAACCGCTTGCATA